ACTACTTAAGATTTTTATAATTCCATTTTTAAAAAAAGAATTGATACTGCCTCAGACTCAAACTTGAAAGTATGACACATTAATATTGCCTGACAAGCATTTTCCATTTGTTTCTCCAAAGTTGTTCCTCCCTAACCTGCTACTGCCCAAACAATCAAGTACTGTATTGTATTTCTGTGCAGCCCACATTCTCTTTGGCCACTTGCAACTGTTGTCTCTCATCAGCCCAGTTATAGTCCTCCTGATCTGCTGATGCAAAAAAACTTTTATTTCCTCCACCCACCTCCCTCAGGTTCCTTATAAACTTGTTAGATTCCAAAGCAATCCTCAGAAAATACTCCCATACAATTCAGAAGAATTTAAGGAATTAAAACTTTGTTTTAAGCCATAACAAAATTTAGTCCCAATAATACAGTACCCATATATTGAATATTATTTGGCATTAAAAAGAAATACCAATGTGTGCTATACGGATGAACCTTGAAAACATGATGCTAACTGAAAAGCCAGTCACAAAAGACCACATATTGTGATTCCATTTATACGAAACGTACAGTATAAGCAAATTTATAGAGATAGATTAGTTTTTGCTTAGGGCAAGGGACGTGGACAGTGATAAGAGGGGAATAATGGGGATTGACTGCTACGAGGCACAAGGTTTCTTTTATGGGGTGTAAACATACTCTAAAACGAGACTGTGGTGACGGTTGCCACTATGGTTTAAATATCTGTCCCCTCCAAAACTCACGTTGAAATTTAATCCCCAATGTGGCAGTATTGACAGGTGGGGCCCTTAAAAAGTGATTGGATCATGAGGGCTCTGCCATCAGGAAGGCCTGAATTAATGGACTGATGGATCAATGGGTTAGTGGATTTACTAGTTACCATAGGAGTGGGACCGGTGGCTATATAAAAAGAGGAAGAGAAAACTGAGCATGTTATCACTTGCCATCTGACACTCTGTGGTGCCACAGGACTCTTCAGGCAGTCCCCACCAACAAGAAGTCTCTCACCAGATGCAACGCCTTAAACCTGGGACTTCTCAGCTTCCCTAACTCTATGAAATAAGCTCATTTTCTTAAAAATTCCCCAGTTTCA